ATAGGCTGGCGTCAGCATTGGAGAAGCTAACGATAGGCTGGCGTCAGCATTGGAGAAGCTAACGATAGGCTGGCGTCAGCATTGGAGAAGCTAACTACTAGCATGGATAGGCTAGCGTCAGCATTAGAGAAGCTAACGATAGGCTGGCGTTAGCATTGGAGAAGCTAATGACTAGCATGGATAGGCTGGCGTAAGCACTGGAGTAGCTAACAATAGGCTGGTATCAGCATTGGAGAAGCTAATAACTAGCGTGGATAGGCTGGCATTAGCATTAGAGAAGCTAACAATAGGCTGGCATTACCATTGGAAAAACTAACGATAGGCTGGCGTTAGCACTGGAGAAGCTAACAACTATCGTGGATAGGCTGGCATTAGCATTGGAGAAGCTACGACTAGCGTGGATAAGCTGGCGTCAGCATTGGAGAAGCTAACGATAGGCTGGCGTTAGCATTGGGGAAGCTAACGATAGGCTGGCATTAGCATTGGAAAAGCTAACTACTAGCGTGGATAGGCTGGCGTCAGCATTGGAGAAGCTAATGATAGGCTGGCGTTAGCATTGGAGAAGCTAGCGACTAGCGTGGATAGGCTGGCATCAGCAATGGAGAAGCTAAAGACTAGCATGTATAGGCTGGTGTTAGCATTGGACAAGCTAACGACTAGCATGGATAGGCTTGCATTAGCATAGAAGAGGCTAGCAACTAGCATGGATAGGCTGGCATTATCATTGGAGAAGCTAATGACTAGCATGGATAGGTTTAAGAGATGATTGAACCAATTCACGGGCCGAACTTTGGTCACTTACGGGCGTGATGTGGCCCGTGGGCCACCAGTTGAATATTCCTGGTCTACTAGGTTTAGTGGAACCAGTTGACATGACTTGGTTGAGTAAATTCAAAACTTCATTTTTTAGAGTGCATGAACAACCTCCTTTCACGATGAGTTTGTACATATTTAATTTTGTAATGAGTAACACGGTGTTACATTTTAAAGGTGTTATATTTTAAAGGAAAGAAATAAAAGTATCATTTTTAGGTTTCAAATGTAACAAAATAAAAGTGATTAAAAAAAAAACTTACAAAATCTAAAAAAAATGGCAGAGGTTTCTCTGCTCCAACACGTATTATTGGAATGAGGTAATTAAGTCAGTGAATCAGGGAAATAAGTAAAAGAGGACAGTGGCCCTGGAGGACCAGGACTGGATCTAGAGTCAGGTCACATAAAAGATTCAACATCTTGTCATTGCACCAGGACTCGTTTCACCACGGCGTACTTACTGAAGGTGAGAGAACAGGACCTCTCCAGTCCTGCTCTGAGCAGTTGGTGCGTGGCGGTGCACTTCAGCGTCTGCCCGTCAGACTTCGGGGAGACGCTCAGCGTCACAGAGAGGTTCTCTGTCTCCTGGAAGTCGTCGGCCTCCTCCCAGCGCAGCTTCGGGGCGGGATACCCTCCGAACCAGGAGCAGTTCAGCTGGATGTCGGAGAGGTTCTGCGATGGGACCCACATACAGTCAGGGTGTGTGTCCGGAACATCTAAACAAATCAAAAACATCAATCAGATTCAAATAATCCACAAAGCTGTTTTTTTTTTTCTTCCAGAATTAAAGTTGATTATTTGTTTTAGACATTCTCTTGTCTCTGCAGGAAGGAAAATCCAGACAAAAGTTTTTAGAAGCACCAAATAAACATAATTATGCTAAAAATTAAACTAAATACATTATTTTTAACTCGTGTTTTTTAATGTTATGTAAAATAAATCATCCTATTTTGATTAGTTTCCAATTTTACTTGTGAAATCTGCACACAAACACCCCTTTTAGAAATCAAATGTAGAAACAGGTTCGAATGAAAACAAGTTTTATGAGATGATTAAGTAGAAAGGGGGAGTTTCCCTTCATGTAGGAATGTCAGGAACAATTGCAATAAGTAAAGAAATAAGTCATGTTTTGACAAGTTAAAAAATGAAGTGATGTTTGACCTTAAAATCCCCACAACCTCTTGGTCCTGCAAAATCTTACTTCTAATCAAAAAAAACACATAAAAGTATTTTACAGTCGCATTATATGCAACTTAAAAAAAATTCACTTTGTTGGATCTTGGCTCTGTGTTTTCCCTTCCAATCAGGAAATTTCTGAACATTTTATCACCATGTTTTGCAAAATAAACTAGAGCAAGGCAATCCAACTGGTGGTCCGAGGGCCACATCCGGCCCAAGAATGACCAAAGTTTGGCCCATCTCTTAAGCCCAAACCCCCAGTTTTCTACTTTAGACATCTTCAGAAACGTCCTAATCTTGGCTACAAGCTGGTAAAAACTATTTCTATCAACATCTAAAACAGCTAAACTACAAGCAGTTGAAGGTAAAACTATGAAAGTGAAAATAAAATTGGTTTTAAAGTTTGGCAAGTCAGAGACGTCAAAATAATATTTGTGTTAAGTAGGAGGCATAGTGTGTTTTTGTTTTTTATGTTTTATTATCACTTCTTTTATTGCTTAGTGTTCTGTATGTTGTATTCATGATTAAATGCAGCAAAATTAACTATTTCAAAGGTAACAGATCTTTGTAATACTTGGTTTATTTACATAATTGTCTAATTACTGGATGTTCAGCCTTTGAGCTGTTGGACCGCAGAAGTTGAGACTTAAGCATAATCTAAAAAAACAAAAACAAAAAAATGAAACCAGCTCTACACCTACATCTGATTTTTTAACATTAGTGCTTGTAAACAGTTTAACACAAATGTTTTAAATGTAATAAATTCAGGCGTTTGTTAGTTGTTGTTTTTTTTTCAACCATTTGGTTAAACATAGAATGACTTTACAACTTTATCATGTTGTGCTTGTTCTGGAGTCGGGTCACAGGGGGCAGCAGCTTGAGCAGGAAGGCCTAAATCTTTTCCTCCAGCTCCTCAGGGAGGACTCCTAGGCCAACTGAGACTCTCCAGCATAAAGACAAGAGCTGGGTGCACAAGACACGTTTGTTTTTCATCAAAGTGTTTTAAAAAGTACTGCAGAATGCTTTAAATACAGTATGTGAACTTGACACGGCCGAGCCTTCATTCCTCACTGGTAACTGTCAGCACCTGTAGTTCCTCTTCAGCAGAATAAAGAGGATTTTGTTTCACAGCATTTATTCTAACAACCAAAACAGAAAACAATGAGAAAGCCCAGTGAACTCAGTGAAGATCTAAGATAGAGAAAATAAAATTACGTCAAAAAACCTGCAGCCAGTTTTAAAGCTCCTGCTCCAAAAGCAACACGTTCAGCATTAACTTCAGCCTTACTTACAGTACACCAGCAGCTCTGTGCTCCTGCTGACCGTCCAGCTGGAGTTGGCGTTTCTGGCGCTGCAGGTGTAAACTCCCTGAGAGCTGCGCTGAATGTTCTCCACGCTGAAGTCCAGCGAGGACTGTGAGGTGGACGTCAACGTGTTGTTGCTGAATGTCAAGCTCAGCTGCTGGGGAGAGGTGGAGAAGGTGGTGCAGCGGACGCCGACACTGGTTCCCTGATTTGTGACGAGTGTCCCGTTGGGAAGAACAACGGTGGGAATAATGATCATACTTGGTTCACCTGAAATAAATATGAGTGTTGTGTTATAGCTGGTGTTCACGACTCCTGGTGGTTTTAAAACTCATTTGTTTTCAAGACTTTTAATTCTGCCTTAGAGTTTACTTTTTCACTTCTATGTATTTTAAATTTTTTTATGGTTTATCATATTTGCTTTTACTGTTCTAGTGCGGGGGCGGAGCCAGACCTGACTGGCCACCCCCAGGCGCCACCCCACAAAAAATTGACTTGGATTTTTTTTTTTTATAGATTTTGTTGAAGATCGTTCTCTGATACTGCTACACTGTGTAAAACTTTTTTTGTTTAAAATGGCTAAATTATAGCCCTTTGTAATTATCATTAGCATTATTGGTTGGCTTAATTAGCATCAGCAATCTTCTTTCTTACTCCATAACAAATTTAGTCCCAACACATCAAAAATGCCTAAATTATAGTCTTTTAAAGTTAGATGTGGTGGTTATCTTGTAATATGGATTAGCCTTTAAAATGTGGTAAAGATTGTTTAAGTATTTCCGTACAAATCATCAGCTTATGATTAGTCTAAAAAAGGCAGAATAAGTTGTGACTAGCATCCATTTCGTATTTTACTACTGTATCATGCTACTTTTAACAAATGCTATTATACTTTTTACTAACACTACTTTTAGCTGATCTTTTAGCTGATGTCATGCCACTTTCAAATGATGTCATGCTACTTCTAGCTGATGTCATGCTACTTCTAGCTGATGTCATGCTACTTTTAGCTGATGTCATGCTACTTTTAGCTGATGTCATACTACTTTAAGCTGATGTCATACTACTTTAAACTGATGTCATGCTACTTCTAGCTGATGTCATGCTACTTCTAGCTGATGTCATACTACTGTGGCAGTATGCCCTGTAGGCTTTGAATGCACCACAAGTGCCTGCATCTAATTGGTTGTGGCGCTGGCTGCCTGTATATAAAGGGCCCTCCCTC